TCTGTGCAATCAGTCAAGCATGAAATCGAAACCAGCATGGCATGGTTTAATTCCAGTACATCGGATGTTATGGGAAGTGTTCCCGGTTCCGGATGACCTAATTAATGCAGCCTAACAATCCTCTAACGGATTTGAATTATAGATATGTGATAGGGTGTTATGTGTATGCCAGGTTAAAGAGATGGGTCTTTAATCTAGATTTAAACTGACAGAATGTGTCTGCCTCCCGAACAACACTAGGTAGATTTTTCCAGAGTTTGGGCGCTAAATAGGAAAGGATCTGCCGCCTGCAGTTGATTTTGATATTCGGTATTATCAAATGGCCAGAGTTTTGAGATCGCAGCGGACGTGAAGGACTATAAAGTGATATGAGCTCGCTCAAGTACTGAGGAGCTAAACCATTCAGGGCTTTATAAGTAATTGGCAAGATTTTAAAATGTATTCGTTGTTCAATAAGGAGCCAGTGCAGAGTTGAGAGAACCGGACTAATATGGTTGTAATTCCTGGTTCTAGTAAGAACTCTAGCTGCTGCATTTTGGACCAGCTGGAGTTTGATTATTAAGCGTGCAGAGCAACCACCCAATAAAGCATTACAATAATCTAACCTTGAGGTCATGAACGCATGAATTAACGTTTCTGCATTTGACATTGAGAGCATAGGTCGTAATTTAGATATATTTTTAAGATGGAAAAATTAAGTTTTACAAATGCTAGAAATCGGGTTTTCAAATGAAAGATTGCTATCAGATAGCACACCTAGGTTCCTAACTAATGACGAGGAATTAACAGAGCAGCCATCAAGTGTTAGACAGTGTTTTAGGTTATTACATGCGGAGGTTTTTGGTCCAATAATTAACACCTCTGTTTTTTCAGAATTTAGCAGTAGGAAATTACTAGTCATCCAGTTTTTTATATGAAATGCATTCTGTTAGTTTTGCGAATTTGTATGTTTCATTGGGCCACGAAGAAATATAGCGCTGAGTATCATCAGCATAATCATCAGCATGTTTCTTGATGATATCTCCCAAGGGTAACATGTAAAGTGTGAAAAGCAGCGGTCCTAGTGCTGAGCCTTGTGGCACTCCATACTGTACTTGTAATCGATATGATATCTCGCCATTTACTGCTACAAATTGATGGTGGTCAGATAAGTAAGATTTGAACCATGACAATTAAATTCCACTAATGCCAACATAATTTTGTAGTCTACTCAAAAGGATGTTGTGGTCGATAGTGTCAAACGCAGCGCTAAGATCCAGTAGCACTAATAGAGAAATACAACCACGATCAGATGATAAGAGCAGGTCATTTGTAAATCTGATGAGAGCAGTCTCAGTACTACGATACAGTCTAAATCACGACTGGAAATCCTCAGAGATACCAGAGATTTCTCTCCAAAAAGGAACATAGTTGAGAGGATACTGCCTTTTCTAGTATTTTTGACAGAAAAGGGAGATTTGAGATTGGTCTGTAATTAACTAACGAGAGGCTTAATAACAGCCAATTTGAAGGTTTTAGGGACATATCCTAAAGACATTGATGAATTAATAATATTCAGCAGAGGATCTATGACTTCTGGAAACACCTCTTTTAGTAGCTTAGATGGAATAGGGTCTAACATATATGTTGTAGGTTTTGATGATTTGACAAGTTTATACAATTCTTCCTGTCCTATAGCAGAGAATGAGTAGTATTGTTCCTGAGGGGATCTATTGTGCGTTATCTGATGCGATACTGTGGCTGACGGCTGCATGGTTATAATTTTATCTCTAATAGTAGCGATCTTGGAAGTAAAGAAGTTCATAAAGTCATTACTGCTGTGCTGTTGGGAAATCTCTGCATCTGTTGATGCTTTATTTTTCGTTAATTTAGCCACTGTATTGAATAAATGCCTGGGGTTGTGTTTGTTCTCTTCTAAGAGAGACAAAAATAAGTAGATCTAGCAGTTTTTAGAGCTTTTCTATAAGTAATATGCAATACGAAATCCCTCTAGTTTTGTTTTCTTCCAGGGCTGCTCTCTTTAAGGCATGAGTGTGCTCGTTATACCACGGTGTCTAAGCGTAAAGGAGCAACCATATCTAAAGTGCTAGAAAAGAGAGATTTAATAGTTTCTGTTACATCATCAAGTTTTTCTGAGCAGTATATGCTGAGGAATTGAGACAAGTCAGGAAGATTATTTACAAAGCAGTCTTCTGTGTTAGAAGTGATGGTTCTAACATATTTGTAACAAGGAATTGAATGTGCAGCTTTAGTTATATGGGGTATACACGAGACTAGATAATGATCCGAGATGTCATCACTCTGCTGCAAAATTTCAACGCCATTAACATCAATTCCATGTGACAGTATTAAATCTAAAGTATGATTCCGACAATGAGTAGGCCCTGACACGTACTGTCTAACCCAAATGAAGTTCAGAATGTCTATAAATGCTGATCCCAATGCATCTTTTTCATTATCAACATGGATATTGAAATCACCAACAATTAAGACTTTATCTGCAGCCAGCACTAACTCAGATAGAAAATCAGCAAATTATTTGATAAAGTCTGTATGGTGCCCTGGTGGCCTGTATACAGTAGCCAGTACAAACATCACAGGGATTTATCATTAACACTTGTTTCTCTGGGTGATGTTATTTGAATCACCATTACTTCAAACTAATTATACTTGAAACCAGAGCTCTGAGAAATACTGAAAAAATATTACTATAAATTGTAGCAACACCTCCCCCTTTACCTTTTGGAAGCAGCTCATGTTTATAACCGTAATCTTGGGGGGTAGAAACATTTAAAATAATGTAATCTTCTGGTTTTAGCCAGGTTTCTGTCAAACAGAGCACATCTAAGTTATGATCTGTGATCATATCATTTACAAAAACCGCTTTTGTAGAAAGGTATCTAATATTCATTAAGCCAAGCTTTATAATTTGTTTATCTGTATTATATCTGTTTTTTATTTGTTGAACATCACTTAAATAGTTTTGTATTTTTTTTGTATTTTCTAGTTCGGGGAACAGACACAGTCTCTATAGCATGATATCTAGGTGAAAGAGTCTCTATGTGCTGAGAATTAACTGACTTCTGTGACATGAGGCGGCCAACAGACGGTCGGTTTAGCCAGTCTGTCTGCTTCCTGACCTGGGCCCCAGTTAGTCAAGTACAAACTCTAAGACTATGTGGCATATTTCTAGAGAGAAGAGCGGCACCCCCCCTGGAGGGATGAAGACCATCTCTTTTCGACAGGTCAGGTCTGCCCCAAAAACTCGTCCAATTGTCTATAAAACCTATGTTATTCTGCGGGCACCACTTAGACATCCAGCCATTGAGTGACGACAGTCTGCTATGTATCCTGTCACCACGGTAAGCAGGGAGGGGGCCATACAACCTGCTATTGCATAAAAACAAATAATAACACTCAGGTGGCTTTCTGATTTTCAAAAGTTCTATTTACAAAACATTTAATTTTCAAATAAATGCTGTTATTTTGAACTTTCTACTCATCTGGAAAAAAAATCCTCAAAAGTATTCAACATTGTCAATTTAAATGTTTATCAAACACCAAATCAGCATATTAGAATGATTTTTCAAGGATCGTGTGACACTGAAGACTGGAGTAATGACTGCTAAAATTCAGCTTTCAGTCACTGAAATAAATTATAAATTGTAAAATATATAATGTATTAAATGAATACAGTTATTTTAGACTAATAGTATTTCACTAAATTACAGTTTTTACTGTATTGCTGATTAAATAAATGCTGACTTGGTAGATTTCTTAAAAACATTCTGCATGGAAGTGTGTTTCTGAAAATACAGACGAGATGTAGACAAAGCCTTCTGTTAAATTAGATCATGGCTGTTATCTGTTGGAAAGAATTTGTCCTATATGGCATTTTGTTAAACTTTTAAACATTTGCTAGTTCTAGTAAGCCCTAAAAAGTCAGAATATCTCATTGGAAAAAGACAAAATTATTCAAATTGAAGAACGTCATTTATACAATGTACTGTTTACTGTATTCCTTTTTTTATGCGCACCAGGCAAACATTATTCTGCCACTCTGCCAAATTGGAAAAAGACAAAATTATTCAAATTGAAGAACGTCATTTATACAATGTACTGTTTACTGTATTTCTTTTTTTATGCGCACCAGGCAAACATTATTCTGCCACTCTGCCATGTATCACATGGTCTCAAAAGCCCCTTTGACCACACGCATGACTGGTCAGCACTAAAACAAAAGTGACTTTGTTCCCTAGAGAGTGAGAATGTCGTTTATGTTCCAATTTGCAACTGATGCCTTTTATTTCCTCAGGCCCTTTACGCTATAACACTGCAAATAACACCAGTTGTTCCATATACAGTTGAATTGACAGCATGTTAAGGGTTGAAAGTAAGCCTCTTTACTTGTTAGACAAGCCAGCCAGACATAAAAATCACCCAATGTCTTTATGCAGAACCTGGGATCCCAGGGGGATTTACAGACTGCATTCTTGGAGACATACTTCACCAGTGTGTTTAACGTCATGAGTCAGAGACAAGCCCATATATGAATAACATTTCCTCAAGCTCTGAACCGTCATTTGTAATGGTCACTGCTTTCTGGACCTTGCGGATAAAGTGTGGCTCAGGGAGCTTTTGTTTGCATCTGTGTTATTTTTGTTGTGTAATGCAATGACAGACAGATTTTAATTATTAGATTTTAATTATATTCATTACATTACGTGAAATTTCAGTCTAAATAAGTAAATCCACGTTTGGTTATTATTGACTGAACTGAATACAGATGCCATGTTATGAATTCGTGCCTTTCATAACACAAAGGGGCGCAGTTTCAATAGTTCTACATAAATCAAAATACTTTAAGCAACGAACTCCTCTTGCCTGGAATCACAAAGATTGAATGGCATTTAACATGTTTACAGGTTCACTCATGCCCACTGATGTTAGCTGATGAACGCTGCGGAAGCTTCTCGTGGCGTTTCAGTGGGCGGGGTTATTTTCACTTCCTGGTCAGTGGGACATCCCGCGGCTCCATCCGAGCAGGGCTACATCAGTCCTCTGTCCTACTTTTAGATTTTTGCTTCCATTTTACAGGTCAGGCTGGAAACGGATGCGTTTTATTGCAGCGGGCCGCCTGCAGTAATGTAACGGGCATCTCCGCTGGGTTGTTAGTGTGAGTGTTGCGGGGATTGTGTTGTTATGGAGTGCGGAGTCAGTGGCGATCATATGTGCTGCTGCTGATCCAGACGTCCACCCACAAACAGCGCGATCTCCATCTACTCTCATACCTTACAGAGATACAAACCATGGCCAAACATCTCATCTGCTGTTGGATTTGGGCTCTAGTGGCTCTTTTCTACTTCCAACAAGCACTTTCTTTTAATCTGGACAGTAGCAAACCCACAGTATTCGCTGGACCTCCAGGAAGTTACTTTGGATTTTCTGTGGCTTTCTTCAATCCTGACAACAAACGGTGGGTATAGATAAAGTTGTATTTGTACAACTAGTGAGCTGTCGGTAAACTTGTTTGGATATCAGGCGCCTGCTGCACTTTTTATTAAATTTTTTGGCGAAAGATACATGATTCTTATATGCATGACTATTCTGAAAGATACGTTTATTAACAAATGTAACAATGTTGAACAGTCTATTGTGAAATAGTTTTACACTTTGGGAAGTTGTAGCTAGAGTAAGCATTTATGTAGGACTGTTATGTAAAGCAAATCAAATATTTATATTTTTAGTTTTCAGTCGTTTTATTTTGAGTTGTTTTTAAATGAAATATTCATTTAAATTTTAAATTTGTATGATTTAATTCATAATTAGCTTTTCATCAACTCACTAATCCACTGCATTTCTTTCATTAACCTAGTTTGGCCCTGACATAATATAATGTTTAATGCGTTTCATGTTGTTGATAACACAAAAAATATATATAGTTATTAGTTTTTAATTATTAATGTAATCTAAAAAATATGAAAATCTAAATGATGTAATATGTGATTTATTAACCATTCTTATAATAATAACAATAATAATCACCTTTCTAATAATTATTATTGTTATAAGTTTATATATTTTATAATAATAACAACTAATATCATATATATATATATATATACATATATATATATATATATATATATATATATATATATATATATATATATATATTAGTGCACAATAATCCCATTCAGATCTACAGATCTAAGTTACATTACCTAGAATGAATAATTTCATAGTTTACATTACTAACAACAATTTTCATCATGGTAACGGACTACAATTAATGTATATTTATATATAAAATGTATTAATAGTAATGCATAATATGTATAATACAATAAAACATTTTTGGTATTATATAATTTATTGTATTATATAATAAATGTTAGATTTATCAACTCGAGATGGTATAATATATATTAGTGCACAATAATCCCATTCAGATCTATGTGATAAAGTTACATTACCTAGAATGAATAATTTCATAGTTTACATTACTAACAACAATTTTCATCATGGTAACGGACTACAATTAATGTATATTTATATATAAAATGTATTAATAGTAATGCATAATATGTATAATACAATAAAACATTTTTGGTATTATATAATTTATTGTATTATATAATAAATGTTAGATTTATCAACTCGAGATGGTATATGCTATATTATTGTGTTTTAGTGTGTGTACAAAAGCATTTAAAAAGCATTGTGTTTTAGTTTGTGGACAAAAGCATTACAACACATTTTACCCTGTGATTTCAGATTAAACATACTTGTTGGTGCACCCAGAGCAAACACATCTGATCAAACCCCGTCAACAGTCACTGAGAGGGGTGCTGTCTTCAGCTGTCCCTGGGACAAAAGTGGCTCATGCACCCAGATTGAGTTTGATAGCACTGGTAAGACGCAGCTCTGTGTTCATCCATCATAGTGCAGTCTTTGCTCCTCCACCATGCTATTATTTAAAGCTTTTTCTGTCTGTCTGTCTGTTGTTTCACATTGCATGCTAGTGGAAGAGGTGGGGTTTGTCAGAGTTATTAAAGGACCTTCTGAGTAGCCTGTGGCTTTTTAATGATTTAGTGGGTCATGTACTGTATCAGCTTTGCTCTAAATATTTTCAATAGGT